ATAGCCGGGCGTTACACAATCCGAGACAGCGTTTGCGATGGGGAGACAGCAGGCTTAGGCTATGTCTAGACTACAAAGAAAAGGCGGAAAAAATCTTTTTCTGCTTTTCTTTCGGAAGAGGCTTTTCTGAAATTTGGTGTGTCTACATGGCGCCAAATTTCGGAAAAACCTGTTCTTCCGAGCCAGCCCATTTACAGGAATGGTGAAAGAACACATCTGCTTTTCTGAATTTTTTTTCGGAAAAGCGGATGCATTTCTTGGATGCAGCATTGCTTTTCCAGGATTTCCCGGAAAAGCGCTGCAGTCCAGACGTAGCATAGTTAAAGAAGACTACTATTTCAAAATAACTAGTGCTACTCTGAAAGAACTTAGTCCTTACCTACACAGCAGGCAGTTATTTTGAAATAGTGTCAAAATACTGTCAAGCTGGAGGACTTCTTATTCCAACTCCTGTAACCCTCAAGCTATGTCTTCACTACAGGGTTTTTGCACAAAACCAGCCGCTTTTGTACAAAAACCTGTGAAGCATCCACACCTCAAGCATGTTTTTGAGCAATAAAATTTACAGTAAAACGGCAGACCAGAGGGCTTTTTGCAGTGCAGGTATACTTTTTTCTATGAGGAATAACTCCTTTTTGCGCAAGAGTTCTTGCGCAAAAAGGCGTGTGTGAATGCTCAACAGGGGTTTCTTGCGCAAAAAGAAACAGGAAAAGCACAGGGCTACGTCTACACTGGCCCCTTCTTCGGAATAGCCATGCTAATTTAGAACTTTGGAATAGGGAAATGCACGGGGGATTTAAATATCCCCCACGGAATTTAAATAAACATGGCCGCCGCTTTTTTCTGGCTTGGGGAAAAGCCGGAAAAGAGTGTCCAGACTGGCGCGATTCTCCGGAATAAAGCCCTATTCCGGAGGATCTCTTATTCCTACTTGAAGTAGGAATAAGAGATCCTCCGGAATAGGGCTTTATTCCGGAGAATCGCGCCAGTCTGGACACTCTTTTCCGGCTTTTCCCCAAGCCGGAAAAAAAGCAGCGGACATGTTTATTTAAATCCCGCAGGGGATATTTAAATCCCCCGCGCATTTCCCTATTCCAAAGACGTAGCCCAGGTGTTCTGATGGCCATTCTGTGAATGGCCATCAGAGCTTTCTGGCGCAAGAGCATCCATGTTGTGTGGACACACTCTTGCACAAAAGCACATCGCTTTTGCGATGTGCTTTTATTGTGTGGATGTGCTTTTGCGCAAGAAGTTTTTGCAGAAGATCTCTTCCGCAAAAAGCTTCTTGTGCAAAAACCCTGCAGTGTAGACAAAGCCTCATTGTACAAGGAAAAAGGGAAGTCGGAGGAAGAGTGCTCTATTTCGAAATCAGTGCTGTGTAGACACTCCCTATTTCGAAATAAGATACGCAATTGAAGTCGCTCAATTTGCATAGCTTATTTCGAGTTACGCCCTGCAGTGTAGACGCACCCTGAGAGACCACAGACCTGGGTTCTCCCACATCACCAAATCAGTATCTTTGTGGTTAAAGATACTGACACCCTCTTGTGTGTCTCAATTGGTTAAGGGTTACAAAACCTTTGACTATCTAGAGTGAAGGGGGGTTCATTATAATAATAATTATTACAACCCAAGGCAAATGCCCTGGCTGGTGTGATCCTGGTTTGTATCACAATGAGGTCAGGGTCGACTGATACCACTTTGAGTCTGGATCTAGCTGTGAGAAAGGGAGCCCATGTCGGTCTGAGGAATGGGTGAGCATAGAATTGGTGGTGGACAAAAAACACGTTTTTAAAATTTTTATATGATGCCTAAACGTTGCAGGGGAAGAGAGGACAGAGGTAAAATCTACTTTCTGGCAACTTGTTCCCCTCTGGACCATTTGTTCACTCTCTCGCTCCCCTGTGAGTCTGTCTGTCCCTCTGTAGCAAACTCATCCCCCCCTTGCCAGGAATGTGGGATTCTGAGGCCAGGCCCCTCTTTCTCTCCTGACCCCACGGCCCTGCGCCTGGAGCTGGATTTCTGCAGTGTGCTGCTCTCCGTCGGGAGCGCTTTGCTAACCAAGTACAGGGCGTAGATGCACCTCTTGGCCTGGCTGGCGCAATTCTGCAGTGTGGAGGACGATGCTAGAGGAATTGTTAATCTGCGCTTTGTTCAGGGAGGTTGCATTCCTGTGGGGATGCTGCGGTTTTGGAAGCAGCGTCTTGCTGCTGGCCCTCACGCAAGTGGAAAGGAGAGGCCGCTCAGGGTAAGCCTCTGCCCTTCCCTAAAGCCTTCCGTGCAAGGATCTCCAAGTGTAAACCAGCCATTACTGCTGTTGTGCAAGTGGGGAAACTGAGGCATGGAGGAGGGCTGTGATTTGCTGGCGTGACAGAGCCAGAAATAGAACCCAGGCATCCTGACTCCCAGATTACAACAGACCCCGTGTCTCTGCTTCATTGCAGAGCTTCTACTGTGAATCTTCTCCCAGCTCCTATAAGGGTTCCTGTGAACTGCCCCTCTTCCAACCTGGTGCATTTGTGTAAATAAGAGATGGAGGCTCAGGGCAACAAGAGGGGAGGCTCAGGATTGCATGAGGGAAGTGAGGCTAAAACACAGACCATCCCGCTATGCAGAGTGACCCGTTTTTCTGTACTGGGGGATGGGACCAGTTATTCCAGTACAGCCTGGGGGATTCCGTTAGGGATCAGGGCTATTTTTTCTGTGTGAAAAGCTCAGAGTTGGTGATCTTGAAACATTTGGTGAATTCGCGTAAGTTTCACTGAATCGTTTCATCAGGGAGGAAAAAAGACTTGCTGGAAAAATCCGAACCTTTTATTTTGACGTTTTCCCAACGCAAGATTCTGATGTTTCGATTTGAAGCGGCTGGTCATTCAGAAAGTGCCTTTCGTTTTATTTTTTTTAAATGAAGGGAAAAACGTGTGCAAAGGCACCAAACCAAAACCGCACTTTTTTGCGTGACCCGACGTGAATTTTGTTCCTGGCTTTTCGATTCACTGAAATTGTCAAACCAATTTCAGGCCAGTCTGAAACCCTTAATTTATTTCAGACTAGCCAATGAGCCAAAAACTCCATGACTTGCTCAGCTTTAATCAGGACCCGGGTGCTGCTTGTGCATATAATTAAAGGACAATTCCTTCCCTAAAGAGTCTGGTGTCTACAGATAAGGTTATGTCTATACAGCAGCTTGAGCTGTGATTTTCACCTGGGGTGGATGTACTCGTACTAGCTTTGATCCAGCTAGCATGCTAAAATTAGACCCACCTAAAACCAGTGTACCCTCCAATGATGTCCATCCAGGTGCAGAATAAATTTTGTTCTATGCACTGAGGCATGTGCAGATGTGCACCACCAGTAGAAACACCTGCTGCCAGCTGTGAGCGGTGTATGAATCAACTGGGCAGCAATGGAATCTCTCTTGGGGGGGGGGGGTCGCCCAAGCGCTCGGCTTACAGGGAGCCCTGCCTGAGATCCAAGGTACCTACATGGCCAGCCCAAGCTGCCAAGACTACAGGACTAGAACGAGCAGAGCAAGCATGCGTACGTCTGCCCGAGCTGGGACTTACACCTATAGCTGCTTTGAGGACATCTAGAGAAAGGCTGGGAGGTAACCGTGAGCATGACAGAGCAGGCCCGCTTTCTTTCTAGCTGGGACACGGTGTTCTTCGATGTCTCGGTCTGGCTCTCCCCCCCCGCCATGAGGAGATGCCATCAGCTGGGCAAGAGAGAAGCATCTTTCCCACAATCTATTTTCACCCCATGGTTCCGGCACCCACCTCCCAGCTGGCTGACAGCGGGCAGGGGAAAGGGCTCTGTGCCGCAGCTGGCGTCACCCTGGGAAAACCAGCTAAGGAAAGAGCCCGCCATGCTGGGGAGACAGGCTTAACATCTCATCGCCCTTGGGAACGCACCTTTCCCCATGTGGGGACTGTCAGTCTGGAGGGAAGCTGGTCGGGGTTCAGAGATGGTGATGAGAATGGATGTAAGGACCTACCCAGAGTGGATGCAACATGGAGCGGGAGGTTGCAGGAGGACTGAGGATCCGGGGCCTATTCCCAGTTTGGCTGAAGATTCCCCGTGTGAGATCTTATTCCAGATCTTGCAAGGTTGGTAGGTCCCATTGCAATTGAGGTGGGGGGGGTGGGTCCATAAAGACTAGAAAGGATTGGTATGATGGGGGCCAGGTGCACAGGTCCATAGAATATTTGGCAACACGCCGATCTGGGATTTGGGTTTGCCCTTGGCAGGTTGGATCCAGATCTGAATGCCTCATCGCTGGTGATTGGGGGTGGGGGGGCATTGTAAGTCAATATGCACAATGCGGTCCCTGTTGTAATTAATGCAGTGAGTGGCCAGCCTGTTAACATCAATAGCCAGCTATTGAGCCACTGCTGGAAGAATTACCCCTATGGTCCGAGTGGTAGGAATTTGGGCTTTTGATGCCTTAACTCTGGGTTATCCTTGCTGTCTGCCAGGAACGTGCAGGTTGGTTTAGATCTTTCTCTGGCTCAGTGTAGGCCCTAAATAAAACAAGATGTGTCCTCTTCCTGGAGTTCAAAACAACTGTATGTGATTCCTAAAGCTTCTGGCATCATCTGCAGGTCTAATGCAAAGGGGATAACAACCTACTACTGCTTCCTGGTAACAAAGTTTCTCCTTTAGCTCAAGGAGCAGAGCTCCGTGCTTTGGCCTCAGTACAAGCCCTGTAGCGTGGGCTGCCAGGCAGGGCCGTGTCTGTTACCATGCCTCACAAGAACCTAAGGTGGAAGCGTCCTATGTGGCCTGGGGCCATTTGTACCAACCACCACTGGGCCCTTCTTGATGGTGAGCAGCTGTGAGATACTGCAAAGCTGTGGGGCTCAGTCCTCTGCCAAGCCATGACCCCCCTTCCAAGCTACAGGGTGATCCATGCTGGGAGCAGCCCCGGCCAGTACCCTGCATGCTCCTTGGGTTTCCTTCCTCGCCATCAGCTCCTCTTCATTTCTCTCTCCTCCCGCCAGGATGAAGCTGCACATGGTCCTGCTACTGGGGCTACAGACACACCTGGCCTCCGCCCTCAACCCAAGCGACCCCAATGTCTGCAGCTACTGGGAAAGGTAAGGGACAGGGGAGGCAGGGCCCCAGGGAGAGCTGGGCAGGAATGAGGCTCTTAGAACATGGTCTGCTCTGCCACACTCAGACCCAGGGCGAGGTGGGTGGAGGCTGGTTCCGTGCTCCCAGAAGGGGCGGGGCTTTGGGCAGAAGGGGAGGAGCTAGCCTTAGTGCTGCCTGGAGTGTGCCACCCAGAGCTCCGGCGGCTATTTAAAGGGCCAGGAGCCTTTTTGAATCGCCGAGACTCTTGGTGGGGTTCCTTGTAATGGAGCCTTTCCTCCATGCTTGCTTTCTGTGTTGCTTTCCTTGCTCTCCCTTTTTCTCTTCATCTCTCTTTCTCTCCCCTGGTTTCTTTTTATGACGCATTATTTGCATTGCGGTCACCCACGGGAGCCCCAGGCGTGGATCAGGATATCAGGACCCTCTCCTGGGGGCTGGGCACTGTTCAGACAGAACAACGACAGCCCCTGCCCCAACGGGCATAATATAAGACAGGAGGCCGACAGACGAGGGAGGCCAAAAGAACCTGTGGTCCCCCTTGGCTTTGGTTACAGCTCTGAGGGTGTTTGGCCGCTGGACTTTGTTCAGGGCTAGGTCCCTGTGTGTAAAGAGCACAGCACGCTCAGCGGTGACAATGTGTGACGGGAGAATTCGGGTGGGGGGGCTCCCCGTTTATGGGGCTTGATACTGCCTACAGTAGAAGGGAGAGTCAAGCCCCATAAGCAGGAAGGCCCCCCCCCCTCCAGAATTCCCCACATGCACAGGTAACCTTTCCCCCTCCTCACGGTAAATGAAGCGGTTGTCAGGAACTAGGCCAAGCTGAGTGTACGTCTCGACGGGACGTTAATAATTTGTCTCCTCCAGCCTCAGCCTTTAGGAATTGCGACTCCAGGCTTTGCTCCACAATCATATTAGAAATAATGGGTTTTTGTAATGAAATCTCTGAGTTTTGGCCTCAGTACAAGCCCGGTAGCGTGGGCTGCCAGGCAGGGCCGTGTCTGCTACCCAGCCTCACAGGTGGCAGTGTTATATGTCGCTGGGGGCCATTTGGACCCAACCACTGCTGGGCCCCTCGTGGTGGTGAGCAACTGAGACACAGGCTGCTGGTAAACCGCAAATCTGGGGGGCTCAGTCTTTTGCCGGGCCGTGGGGCCGACCGACCCCGTCCATGCGACGGTGTGAACCACGCTGGCAGCAGCCCTGGCTAGCACCCAGCATGCTCCTTGGGTTTCTTTCCTCACCATCAGCTCCACTTCATCCCCCCGCCATGAGCTCACGAATCCAGGAGCTGGCAGTATGGCTACAGGCCTTGCTTAATCATCGAATCATAGAGCTGGAAGAGACCTCAGAAGGTCATCCAGTCCAGCCCCCTGCTCTAGGCAGGACCAATCCCATCTAAATCAACCCGGCCAGGGCTTTGTCAAGCCGACACTTAAACACCTCTAGGGATGGAGACTCCACTACTTCCCTAGGGAACCCATTCCAGTGCTTCACCACCCTCCTAGGGAAATAGTTTTTCCTAATATCCAACCTGGACCTCTCCCACCACAACTTGAGACCATTGCTCCTTGTTTTGCCATCTGCCACTACTAAGAACGCCCTTTCTCCAGCCTCTTTGGATCCTCCCTTCAGGGAGTTGAAGGCCGCTATCAAATCCCCCCTCACTCTTCCCTTCTGCAGACTAAACAGACCCAAGTCCCTCAGCTTTTCCTCATAAGTCCCTCAGCTTTTCCTCATATGCTCCAGACCCCTAATCATTTTGGTTGCCCTCCGCTGGACCCTCTCCAATGCATCCACATCCTTTTTGTAGTGGGGGGCCCAGAACTGGACACTTCCTCCAGTCTGTCCCCAGAAATAGGGCAGGTGCCTTGTGTCGCTACTCCAAAGGCACCGGCGGATGCCATTGGGATGCTCGGAGAGGGACCGGGAGCCAGGTGTCCAACATGGGAGGTGCAAGGCCACGGCTACAGAGCCACGGCACCAAAGTGGTTCTGTCTTTTCTCCGGCAGCTTCACCACGGCAACGAAGGAGTCCTACGCTCACCCCTACGCTCAGGTCTCCAAAGAGTCGTGTGATGGGACCTGGAATTTCTTCAAGCCCTGCACTCAGCAGAAGTAAGGCGCTCCCCCGTTTCTGTAGGGCATGGCACATGTCCTCTGACCCTCCAAAAGTTCTCTGGGAATCTCACGGGCTGACCCCAGCATGGGCTGCTGGCTGTGAGGTCTCACAGGCTATCCCTGGCATGGCCCCCTGGTGTCAGGATCCCATGGGCTGTCCCTGACATCCCTCTGAAAGCAAGGCACCACAAGCTGAATCCACTCCTACCAAGCAGCAGTGTGTTCCACAGTTTTGACCCTGCTCCTAACAAGCAGCGGTGAGTTCCAGCAGTTAACAGCAGTCTGTTTCCCATTTCAGTGAGATAACGCGGAACGAGTCAGAAGCTGGGAATCTCACAGGTTAAACCCCAGTATCATCTCACTGCAGTTTGCTTTGCTGGTTAGGAACTGTTGGCAGTGAGTTCCACAAGTTAATGCCAGTATTATTGGATAGCATGGAGAGCCATGGATTAACCCTTATTCTCTACACTGGTTACTGGATAACCCAAACTCTGTCCATACCAGTCAGTGCCACTAGCTAATTACAATCTAGCGTGGTGGTGTTAATCCTGATGTGACCTCACCCCAGTAAGGTGTCTGGGTGAGCCCTAGTGCTCTCCTGTGGCAGTGAGTTCCCCAGGTGTGGTTTATTCTTTAGCCATGTTCTGCATGTGGGGGTCATTCTGTTTTACTCCATCTCATGCAGGATTATGTACAAGACAGCGTACCGGCAGGCGGTGAAAATTGACTACCGGAAGAGGTACCGCTGCTGCCAGGGCTATTATGAGAGCACAGACATTTGTGTCCGTAAGTCCGTCCCTGACCGTCACTAATGGGCCCCAGAGGGAAGCGCCTGTTGCATTTTGCATCCCTCGGTCAGCGTGAGATGATGTTTCTGCAGAAATTGAAGGGGTCTGATGGAGTCATTCTGCCATTTCGAACTCTAATGCTGATTTGTAGTGTGACGCCTACCCTAGCTCTGTGCCTCTGTTTCCCCATCTCTAAAGTGGGGTGTCCCCAGTCATTTTCCTATCTGCTTCGCCCAGTCTCCCTAGCCCCCTTGCTCCCCACCGTGTGCCCCCAGACGTCCCAGCTCCCCTGCACACTGAGGAATCACACCTCTGTAACAGAGGAGACCACAGACCAGTGCGTGTGGCCTCAGTCAGGACCCACCCCAGAGGGGACGCATGTTCTTTACAGCCCTTTGCTTTGTGTCCTCTCGTCCCCTTCCTGATCCTCCTCCCTCCTTCCCTCCCTCTCATATTTCTGTCCGGGCCCCTGGAGTTTCTAGCCCCTCGTGCGCCCGGCTTAGCTGCCAGCCCTCCTGCAGCTGCATGGCTGGAGGCCGCCTGGCCACCACGGAACCCTTCTTGCCCCTTCCAGCTGGTGCTGCCTGCCTGCCCTCTGGCACCGTTCCCTTGATCCTGGCAGTCAGCAGACAGCCCCTCACTCCACCCCCTCGCCACTGCAGACTCAGTCTGGGCGAAAAATCGCTGCTGCGTTTCATCAGCTTTGCATTTCTTCAGCCAAGCCGGGGGCTGGAGGCCGCCTGGCCACCACGGAACCCTTCTTGCCCCTTCCAGCTGGTGCTGCCTGCCTGCCCTCTGGCACCGTTCCCTTGATCCTGGCAGTCAGCAGACAGCCCCTCACTCCACCCCCTCGCCACTGCAGACTCAGTCTGGGCGAAAAATCGCTGCTGCGTTTCATCAGCTTTGCATTTCTTCAGCCAAGCCGGGGGCGGGGGGTGCTTGGCTCTGGGGTGGGCAGAGGGGCTAATTCTTGGCATGCAGGGGCGGCTGTGGCAGGCTCACTGGTCACACGAGAGGCACCCGGGTTGCGCTGTGATTCAACTCCTGCTCCAGGTCCAGGGTTAGGGGGACCCGGCTGAATGGCTATCGAACAGCTACTGGGTTATCCCCCACCCAGAGGTGGCTGCATCACAGTGGGGGAGCAACAGTGGTGCAGGACTGCCGAGCACCCTTGCAGGGGGCTGCATTTCCTGAGTGATTTCTGGGCAGTGTTGCTGAGCGCTGTTAAACAGCTGCTGTGTTCCACCCCAGAGGTGGCTGCATTTCAATGCTGGCCGAGGGTTGCCTGTGCCGCATTCCTGAGCCCTGTTATACAGCCGCCGTGTTCCACCCCAGAGGTGGCTGCATTTCAATGCTGGCCGAGGGTTGCCTGTGCTGCATTGCTGAGCACTGTTAAACAGCCGCTGTGTTCCACCCCAGAGGTGGCTGCATTTCAATGCTGGCCGAGGGATGTCTGTGCCGCATTGCTGAGCACTGTTAAACAGCTGCCATGTTCCACCCCAGAGGCAGCTGCATGTCCGTGTTGGGTGATCTCTGTCTATAGAGTTTGGGGTTGAAATGCCAGGGGAGAGGTTAATAAAGGAGATCTTGGAGCAGCCCGAATGAACCCATCTGCTTGCTGCCCCCCCTGCAGCTCGCTGTACCAAGGAGTGTGTCCACGGGAGGTGCGTGGCTCCAGACCAGTGCCAGTGTGAGCAGGGATGGAGAGGTGCAGACTGCTCCAGCGGTGAGTACCACAGGCCTGGCCTCTCCACTGCATGCTGGGGGCTGCGCTCTGGGGGCCATCACCTTCTGGCTCAAGGGGAGAGATTCTGCCCAAAGGCGCCTAGTCAGGGAGGGAGTTGTCATTGGCAGACACCATGCAGGCGCTGGGGTGACCACTAGCCAACGAGGGTGGGGCCCAGCTGTGCTCTGAGAGTTATGGAGCGAGGAGAGGGATGGCAGGGAGGTACGGGGTGAGGAATGGAGGCGTTATGGAGTGAGGGGGGAGTGGAGAGGTTACGGAGGGACGGGACCAGGGGCCGTTGTGGAGGGAGGGAAGAGGCGATGGGTGGGATAGGGTTTAGGGCAGGGGTTCTCAAACTTGTGATACCACGACCCCCCTCTCAGTTGCTCACAGACCCCCGGGGGGGTCGGGACCCACAATTTGAGAAACGCTGGTTTAGGAGACACATATGAGGGAGGAGGCATGAGCAAGGCATTATGGGTACTCAGGCCAAGGCAGAATCCCGCCTGGCCAGCTTGGCCCCTCGGGTGTGTGGGGCCTCCGCTCCCCCTCCACTGGCAGCCAAATTAAACCCAAACGCCAGCTTCTGAGCTGCCGTGTCCTTCCCACGGGCCCAGGGAGGGCGTTCCCACGCACTGGGGGCGGGCGCGACTCTCAAGAGCTGGGGGTCACAGTCTGCACAGGAAACATTTGGGTGTGGGCTGCAGTCCAAGGCCAGACGGGAGGGAAGGGGTTTCTCTGGGAACCCCCAGCGAGGATCAGCCAGCTGTGGGCAAAACCCCCAGTAAGTCACCGCATCCCTCTGTCTGCCGTGTCCCTCTCTTTCGCCCTTGTCTGAAGAACGCCACCACTTAAAACAATCAAGCAAATTTTTCCATGAAGCAGCTTCCGGACAAACAACTAGGAAATGGCTTAAAGGAGGCAATAACGATTAAGTTGTCATTAGCTGAGCAATGTGTTTAATGGGAAGCAGCGGGGTCTCGTGGTGAAGGGGAAGGCTGCCTGGGTTCTATTTCTGGCTGTGCTCTGTGACACTTGGAATGGCCTGTCCCAGCTCAGTGCCTCAGTTTCCCTACTTGGAAAACGGGGCTGGGACTCTGACTATTGCGGGGCTTCGTTCCCCAGGATGTAGGATGTGCTTTAGGATGTGCTTAGAGACCCTTTGCAGAAGGGGAAAGGGGTTGTCGCTGCTACACTGTCGCTTCCTTCTTCCAGAGTGTGACGCCCGGTTCTGGGGCCCCCGTTGCAAGCAGCCCTGCCAGTGTGGCGACGGGGGGACTTGCGACCCCC